AACTGTTAGATACCATTCGTGACCTAAGATGACCTCAGGGCATAAACAAGGGTCACGGACACCATTTTCAAGTTCAGTGTGTCTAAACCACTTGTAATTCGGTGTTTGGGAGTGTGTATAATGTCTTTCATCCAAAAGAGGCGCATTTCAATTTTCTCCCATTGACTTATAATGGGAGGTCGCAAAATTGACCTGACCTTAGGTCATCGATATCAAAATTCTGAGATATACATTTTGTACATGTTATTGCTCTTAGCAATCGCTGAAAGTTTCAAAGCGATCGGTCACTCGGTGTAGCTATGACAGACATTGAAAGTTTTTATGAGGTAAGGTCACTTCAAGTGACCTGGTGACCTGACCTTGAATGACCTTGGTCTGAAATTTCCACAACATGTGTAGAATTGATGTATGATAAGGTGTACCAAAAACGGCGGCGCTCCGCGCCGCCGTTTTTGAGATATTCGCGAAAAACCACAAGGGGGGTGTTCAAACACCCCCCCCCCCAGCAGGGCGCGGGATAATGTGATAAATAAGGTCAATGAGCAACTAGTACAACCCAAGCTACTAGCAATTAAGAATCAGCTATGAACCAAATTTGACCAAATCGCATCAAATATCAGCAAATGTGTGTTAGATACTTGTCGTGAAAGCGGCTATTGTAGGTATATGTATGATTAGGTTCAGCAGGGTTCCGTGAGTTCACGCACTGGTGGCTTATTCGACTCGCGAGATTAATTCCATTCAAAGTCATTGTCAAAAAGAAAAACGATGACCTCAAACGACCATACAAAGCACCAGCCTATACGACGTCATGCAAGGTCCCCAATGCCAAACCTAAGAATCGCCCTTTGCAAAGTGTATGAAATCACGATTACAGGCGTTTGATATTGATTTCAGGCTTAGGTCGTTTCCGACATCGAAATAAGAGTTTCAATGTTGTAATATTTCCCATTGACTTGTAATAGTGAAGTCACGTGACTGACCTCGGGTGAAAGTTAGGAAAGTTGATGTGAAATCTCAAGAGCCGTTACTAACTATATGCCGTTACTTGTTTCATCCCCTGCAAAAGGTTTACTGAGGGCGCTGTAAAGCTGCAACTTTTTGCATTGTTCCAAGATTTATTTGTGACGTCATAGGTGAGTAAGCTGACCTCAGCCTCAAAATCCTGTTGGCGTAAAAAAATCCAGCTTAAATCAATGATCAGGTTAAGGTGGGTATGTCAACTTTCAGCTCTCCAGCCTTACAGCGTTGCAAACGATCTCGAGAAAACCGTTGGGGCTGCACATCAAACCCTCCCCTTCGGCTAGGTGGGAATAAGAATACTATGAAAGTGAATGTTAGTGAAACATGGAGCATCCCAAGCCATTGCATAACTTGAAATACATTAATCCAAAACGTTAGAGGTGCTTCCAGTTCCAGAAAAAGAGAATACAATCTCGGCCAGTTTTCACGTACTTGTAATTTTGTCACCTCCACCCTCTCTGACCTGGTCAGTGGTCACGCCCCTGGCAATTGCAATCAATTACTTCCAAATGCCGCATTTTTGTCTGCATTTATTTTGTGTGTGGCATATTCAATAAGCAATATCACTGAAAGCCCATTATTTACATGGACAGAGCGAACTGCATGCGATTACTAGCTTCAGCCTTCTCCTTATTTAACCCTAACACAGCCTCGGCTGTTATGAACGAATTTTTTCGCATGTCCGGCCACAACGTCCGATTTACAAATTTGATAATTCCTAGCCTTTTATCAGTGCAAGCTGTATAGAAGCGTGTCAGAATTACATGCAAGGCAGGGCACATCAATGTTCGCCTAACTTTCTTGACAGACATTGAACAATGCCCGAAAGTGAAGCAAAAGTGAAACGAAAGTGAAGCAAAGATTATTGAATAATCACATGCCGGTTGTGTGAGTGTGAGTGCCAGGCTTTTATTTCCAACTTTCATTAACTATTTCGAGGATATGAGGGCAGGAGAATGATTGGTTTTGGAAAGTGTCACCAAATGTTCCCTTTTACACTAAACATTGCCGTAAACAAAAAGTTTTATAAAAATCTCTCCAAATTTTTTTACATGAAATTTCCATATCCAGAGGCATCTTTTGGCGTAATCTTTTTGTCAAAAATTTAATGGCCACATTTTGAAAATCAAAAATCAAAAATTTAGTCATTAAAAAAATGTTGTGATTTTGATTTTTTCAAAATATTTTGATTGATTAGTTTTCTACGGTCAATGAGGATTCCAATGATATACATATTAATTGTAAGTTACTGGCCATATTTTTATATAATACGAGTCAAAAAGAGGGTTGCTCTGAGCATTTTGAAAAATGCCACTGGCTGTAACTCGTAAACCGTTTGTAGTATAACGCTGAAAATAGGAGATTAAGAATCTACGGTACAGATAACCCCCTAGACGTAATTTCATCAAAATCTGAGAGGTAGGGTGTTATGGCTTGGTCGATCTGTCATGGATCGCCCCAATTGCAAGGTAGCTGACAAGCAGCGTTGTGCTCAATCCGTGCTGGAAGCTGCCAGCGCGGCGCCACTGCTCCTTGGAGGTGTCGGCACCAGCCGGGGTCGCTCTGCGCGCCCACTGCGCTGCAGCTCGCTGACTGCTGGCGACAGCCACCAGGACCGATGAAAGGAGCGGTGGCCGGCGGCGGCGCTGCTCCCGACACGGCCCATTCCGCTGCCAGCTTCGACAGTCCACTGTCGGTGAAAGGCCACCCGGCCGGCCGGCCGGACCCAACAGCCTACTTTGCCACACGGACGGTGCGACCGTCAGCCCACGGCCTAATTTTTAGAGCAGGGGAGACAGGCGTGCATACTCTGAAGCTAGCCTTTCCCAAACGTTTCATTTTTTCATTGTTTGAGGAGCCTTGTCTATTCAAACTGAACGGCTAAATATTGTACTATATTTTACATCATTGGTACTCTTCCACTCAAGGTGGCCATTGCGAGCCCTCGTCAAAACAGTAAGCGCGTTAAAAAGACAATAAAAAGCGCGGACCAGACATGTCAGGAACGGACCTGAAGCTCCGTTCTTATGACATGTTCGTTGTACAGTTGACACGCTCGCTGCTTAAAAGTTCTTAGGCCAAGGCTGGTTCGAACACGCGGTACATGTTAATGACCCGACTGCCTAGTCTGACGCTCGGAAACATCCCTATTGTACGATATGTCCTGTCGCAGTACCTCAGGCTCACCCCTGCTAATCACCCCGTGTAGCAGACATACGTCGTTCATGTCAATCAACGCACTGACGGGGAGCCACTCCAAACTCATAATCACGTCTGACACATGATCATACTTCTGTCTGCCAGATATCACTGTGGCAGCAAAGTTTTGCCCTTTCTGCAGTCGCTTTAAGCTCGTTTTGCTGGCACAGCCGAATACTTGACTACAAAAGCGCACATGTGACATGCACAATTCAGTATGAACCGTACAGAAGCTATTCGGAAAGTGAATTTTGAAGCTACCCATGCAAATGGCCCAATTTGCAAAGTGCGATAGGTATGATAGAATCTGTAGGAACCGTAGAATCTGTATTTCTATCTGACTGGCTGAAACTAAGGCCTACCATAAAAATGATTTTCAAGCATTTTGGTCCATCATACCATACTTTGAGGTTTCCAAGAATACGCGAAGTGGCGATGCAATAGCGTCGCCCGACCGATCTGAAAAAGAGAAGCAAAAAATGTAAAGAAAAAATACCACACCGCACGCCCGTGGCGGCGCGAACAACGCCAACGCAAACGTCGCAAAAATATCCAGAAAAAACGAAACAATGGAAAAAACCGCGCCGTTTGCCCCCCCCCCCCCCCAGCCCCAGCCAACAATGCACTGCAAACGATGCGGGAAAGGAAAAGAAAGAACAAATGAAAGGAAAAATGCAAGTGACAATTGAAGTTCTGAATCGCTTCGCGGTCACTCGTGACGAGAGCAGAGGGCGGTAGGGGGGGATGTTGCCCAGTGGCCGGTGCTCCCCTGTCTTTTCCACTTTTAATCGTTAGCATGTGCAGAACATGAGAATATGCTGACGCCTTAAACATTTGAAGGACCAGTACAATTTTGTTTTGCTGTAGCTTATCCCTGAGAGCCCAGTTTTCTGCCTGGTCTCAAATCCGGTGCGTACCCTACTCTGCGACTTGCCGTACTTCCTCCTTCCGCTGTCTGTGGCATGTTTGATGTTTGCTCCGAGTTTTTTTTTGCAATCTACGATTCAATAAGATGGATAGCCGAGACGGATTCTAATATTCACACGACACCCAGCACAGACGTACAGGTCACCGCTGAAGTAATGTGACGTTCTCCTCACTGCTGTATCAACCAAAACCTAGCACCATTCATTGCAGGTGAGATGTATCGTCAAAGACAAGGATCGCGCAGTTTTGTATTTTACAGGGTGTCCGGAAATTATTTGCCCCTCCATCAGCTCGCCGCCATTATTAATAAACAAACAGCCACCGAGTCACGGTTTATTGACCGATTTATTCCCTGCCCTGTCATACGTATTCCCTCATCCACTTTGGTATTCCATAGATCAAGATGTCAAGAGTATTCGCGCTGATGCTCAGCCACACCTTTCACAGGTTCCTCTTCAAGTCCGTTTACTGTGGGAGCTGGTTCAATCTTGCTGAGCTCCTCCTTCATGATTCTCCATAGGTTTTCAATTGGGATTAGGACAGAGGAATCAATTTGACTTCCTACTTCATTCCAGTCTTCACCATAACTTCAGCGCGATGACGCTTTGTCAAAGAATTTCTTTCGTTAAAACGACGTTACTGATTGTTGATGCAACTGATGTAGCCGCTGTCACTAATATGATGATACTTTGGTGACTTTATATAACTGTGACTTATTATAACTGCTGTGACCGGTATGACTGATGTGACTGGTGTGTCTGCTTACTGCTGTGCCTGGTATAACTGCTGTGACTGGTGTGTCTAGTGTGACTGCTGTGACTGGCTGGTGACTGTGCCGACTGCCGTGGCAGGGCGGCGGTGTGGCCGGCGCCACGCTGCACCTAGCACGCACCGTGTGTCGCCGCGCAGAGAGGGTGGTCACGCCGCTCACCAGAGCCGACCGCGTGGACGCCAGCGTGGCTGTCTACCTGAACCGGTGAGACCCACACACACACACACACATACACACACACACACACAAACACACAACCATACCCCAGTCGGCTGCTGGTACACGGGGCGCCGTGTGGAAATGTAGAAGTGCAAAACCTACCGCTTAATCTCGCGAGACCTGTACAGAAACCACTTCATATTCTTTGCCAAAGGCACATTTTAGATTCGTAAGACCACAAAATGTGTTTCAATTTACTTTTTTTGCTGAATAATTGAATATATCGACACCTTTTTTTTAAACCCCACATCTGCTCTCCGTGAATTTCCGGGAGGCACGAAAGATCTCCTTTTAAAAGTGTCCAATCGTCCGATCCTGATCAAATATGTGTGTTCGTAAGCTTGCTCTGGCATTGCTTTATCTGCCAAGACAGACAAACTTGAGAAAAATCGAGTGATTGTACCTTTTTTGAAGGTCTCTAACCAACTTGTCTGAAATCCACCGGAGAACAAATGTGGGGTTTAAAAAAGGTGTCGATATGATGTTTTCCTAGCTTCCAACAATCCGCGCTGCCTTTTTGTTTTTCACCTGGCATATTTTTTTCGTTCCAGAGGCGTTCCTGATGTTTTATAGACATAAGACAGCCTTGATCAATGATCGTGATCATTCGTCGTATACCTAGCGTGCAGATAGATCGGTGACGTTTGTTTACGACCATGGGAATCACCCGCTTGACGACTCGTGCATGGTCCGTTTTGGCCGCGCTCAGACATGTAAATCATGTTATCTCTTGCTCTCTCTGGCTTCGCTCGCTGTGCTTTGCTCAACCTTACTGCTTGCAGATGAGCTGCTGGAGCTCTCCAGCAAGAACCATGCCGAAAGTCCGTTTAGGAAGTTCAGAATTGCACTTGATTCAGCGTGGTTACATTTTGGCTGCTAAGCTAAAAATGGAAAGGGACTACTGTGCTGGCTTAAATGTTCTCCAATTTTGGGACACCCTGTGCAGATAATTTTGATCAACTTGATCATCTGTGAAAAGCAGTGTGCGCTAGCCAGTTTTCCAAGTAACCTATCTAACAAATAGCGTGCTGTGTTACCAGAGACCTTTATTGGGGGTCGAACTTAAAATACGAATTATATTTTTCACCCATATCTGTTAAACCCTCGCCCGTATAGGGGGGGGGGGGGGAGGTCGAACGGACCCCACCTCGATTTTTCGCGAATAACTCGCGTAAAAAGCGGCCATCGCGACGAATCTTTCCGTACCCTCGAGTTGATCAATTTTACACCTACCCTGAAATTTTCATGACCCTGACGCAAATGACCAGTTGATCTGTGATCTACTTTTCAATAACATGTTTGGCCGGAATCGCGATTCGGCGTATGTCGGCACGCATTAGCCGCGCGTTCGCAGTCTTTTCGTCGTTGCAAGCGTTCAAACATGCGATATGATGTTGCCCCCATGCATTAGGGCGGGTGTTCAGGTCACCTGAAGGTCAGGTTAGGTCAATGACCTTTGATGACCTCGGTTCACTTTTTCGAGTTTTCCATGTTTCTAGGCTAGTTTTTTGGAGCTGAATTCGAATTTAGCAATCATATGAACATTTACGAAGTAGTTTTGGTGCCATCGTAACATGCTACGAAGCTGTCAGAGGCGGTTGATACCTACTACGAATACCCGCCAGGACCCCTACTGGTTGACCTGACCTGACCTGACCCGGCCTGCCCTAAATGTATGAGGACATCATCTGTGATCAAAACTAACATGATATTCGTGGTGATCAGCACCCCGAAACAACCCATAGCAGCCACACTTTACAACGCTCTAACAGGTCCCGATTTTCCCGACTTTTGGGTCATTGACCTGACCTGGAAGGTCCACCAAGCAATGAACTAGGACCTTAAAATTGGGTAGCATCGGCTTCCTCTCGTCACGGGCAACACGCTCGTTTTTTCCGCGGAGCTCTAGCTCGATCAGGGCAGGTTATCTCTTGCTCTCTCTGGCGTCGCTCGCTGTGCTTTGCTAAACCCTTACTGCTTGCAGATGAGCTGCTGGAGCTCCCCAGCAAGAACCATGCCGAAAGTCCGTTTAGGAAGTTCACAATTGCACTTCATTCAGCGTGGTTACCTTTTGGCTGCTTAGCCTAAAAATGGAAAGGGAAATGGAAATGGGCGAAACGGCAAGGGCTGAAAAACACGTTCGCGGCTGGAAAAACACCAATACGGGCGAGGACTAAGCCATTTACCTCAGGCAAGACCCGTATGCAGCATTGTTTTTGAGCCTTGTTCGTCGGCCGTGCTTGGTCTTCGGAGCGTGATCTCACCGACCCGGTGTCCCTGGCCCACCGACTGTCCGACCTCTCACCGACCCGGGCCCACCGACTGTCCGGCCTCTCACCGACCCGGGCTCACCGACTGTCCGACCTCTCACCGGCCCGGGCCCACCGACTGTCCGACCTCTCACCGACCCGGGCCCACCGACTGTCCGACCTCTCACCGGCCCGGTGTCCTGTGTTCACAGACTGTCGGACTTTTTGTTCACGGTGGCCCGGGTGGCTGTGTTCACAGACTGTCGGACTTTTTGTTCACGGTGGCCCGGGTGGCTGCGGCGGCCGACGGCGTCGACGAGGAGGTGTACGTGCGACCGCCGCCGAGCCAGCCGTCAGAGTGACCGGTAACAATAGGTACGGCCGCCAAATCGACACATAGGCACAACCGGTCGGTGCTGTCCGGCTGGTTGCGCCCCATGCTTAGATCTTCTCCATCGTGTCGGGTCGCGGCCGGCCGGCCGCTGACCATTTTCAGAAGTGGCGGGCAGACCGTGCGTCGAGTACTTGCTTTCTCGCGCGGCGGTACTGGGGTTCACTAGCATTGTTTAAAATATTTTCATTTGCCATGAACTTGAAACTATACACTGTAATTAACGATCATTTGTCAATTATTACAAATTCTTCAAAATTCTTCTTTGAAAGCAAATGATTTCATTTCACTCAAGAATTGTCTTGTCCACCACTACAACCGCCACCCAGCCGCCATCCATTGGAAGAGATAGGCTCCGCGGCACAAGGTGTCGTTTTAAACTGGACTGGGAACCAATGTGTGATGCCATGTCGAGCTAAATTTATGCTCATTATGTACCTAGAAGCATTGGGAACAACGCTCTGACTGTACATTTTTAGATTTTTGCCTCTAAATGAAAATATTTACAATCAAGTACTTTGCGAGGGCAGTTTAGAAGCTCCCGTAATGTTAAAGTCCTATCTCCTACACGCATGTAAATACTGCTCTAGGGAACCAACAGTTCGCTTCGTACTAGCTTCAAATTATATCCATATTGTTCCCAGTACTTTCCTGAACACTGTGGTGAGTGTACATTTTTCGTTTTTTGCTTTACAAGCGTAAAATTCGTCTGGTTTTACACCACTTCATTCGCCTCCATAGCCCCGTAACGGCGCCGCGCGGCCCGGCCGGCCGGCGCCCGCAGTAGTTCCAAACACTGCCCGATAGATGGCAGGCGCAGAAGTGGTCCCAGCCGTCCCGGTACGTGAAGCGTTTGATACAGTTGTGTGATTTTGTTTAAAAAGTGCTAAAATGCCAGTTTTACATTTAGAACACACGTTTGATTTGCATTTCATTACCAATTTGTTTTAACAGTTAAGTTAACTGAACGAATACGTTAATAACTTCACACACTGAAACCGTTTAAAGGAAAAGTGTGTGAAAATGAAAATTAGCAATGTTAAACGCACTGTCGTTGTAGTAAGCTCTTCCTCTCCCGTCAGGTCGGAGTGGTCTGCCAGGCCTCTCCCGTCAGGTCGGAGTGGTCTGCCAGGCCGCGGCTGCGCCGTCCCATAGCTGCCCCCTCCCCCAGCGCGGCCCCCACTGGCGCAGTGCTCTGCAGGCGCATATAGCGACGAGGGAGCTGACGCACAGCTGCGCCGGCCACGCTGGGCGCGACAGTCGGCACACGACCCGCCACCTACAAAATGCAAAAACAAAACGGGACTAAAAATGACCTCAAAGCTCGGATCATCGGGCATCCAGTTACGCCCGAGGCCTGATCTGTGTAGATCTGATATGGGTGTTGTGAAACGGGATGTGGTATAAATAGTAAATACGCTGCGGCTTGAAACTGCATTTGAAGTTATTAAGCAGTCGCGTTGTGAAACATGAGCGCTCTCTGTCTCGGCGTCGCTGGGTATGTCGTGTGCAAGCGCTGTAATGAAAAAATATACCCGCTCGTCAGCTGTACGGATTTTCTCCCTTCACCGAGCTACAGGGTGTAACGAAATTATCCGGACATCTCTCTTCGCGCTATAAGTAAGAAGCAAGACAATCTGCTATTTTCCCTTTTGAATTATTGTATTATTGTATTTGTATTGTATTTATTGCATACCATCAACAGGTCCGAAAACCCAATAATAGACGGAGTCAGATATATAAAAACAATAAATACGACACACATTGTTAAAACTTCACACTGTATGGCGAACGAACACAGACACACACTTCATAAACCGAGAGCGCCTTCCAAAAATGTCCGCTCCGCTGAATTATTACATTCAATATCTTTCATAAAAGCGCAGGTACTAATTTTTTGGAGCATTCAGCCACTGGGTTTTCCAGCACAGTGGGTTTCATTAGTGATGTCAATTACGGGAAATCGGAATACCGATACCAAACCAAATACCAACCAAAACCGTGGGGAAATACCGAAACCAAACCAACTTGGGAATATGAGGGAAATACCAACTTTTTACCAAGTTTTCAGCCTGTTATACATTAGTGAGGGTTCATGATACCAACAAAATACCAAACACATTAGCATTTAACCCTCGCATGTGTGCGGTGTTTTCCAGCTTCTAATGTGTAGGGGGGGGGTCGGTTGGACCCCCCCCCCTTGCCGTTTGGCCCCTGATCGAGCTAGAGCTTCGCGGAAAAAACGAGCGTGTTGCCCGTGACGAAAGAGGAAGCCGATGATACCCAATTTTAAGGTCCTAGGTCATTGGTTGACCTTCCAGGTTAGGTCAATGACCCAAAGTCGGGAAAATCGGGACCTATTAGAAAGTCGTAAAGTGTGGCTGCTAAGGGGTTTTCGGGGTGCTGATCACGAATATCGTGTTAGTTTTGATCACAGATGATGTCTTTAAGCATTTAGACCAAGTCGGGTCAGGTCAGGTCAGGTCAACCAGTAGGCGTCGTGACGGGTATTCGTAGTACGTGTCAACCGCCTCTGACAGCTTCGTTACATGTTACGAAGGCACCAAAACTACTTCGTAAATGTTCACATGGCTGCTAAATTCGAATTCAGCTCCCAAAACTAGCCAAAAACATGTAAAAACTCGAAAAAGTGAACTGAGGTCACCCGAGGTCACCAAAGGTCAATGACCTGACCTGACCTTCAGGTGACCTTGACACCCACCCTAATGCATGGGAGCAACATCAAATCACATGTTTGAACGTTTGAAACCACGAAAAGCTTGCAAACGCGCGGCTAATGCGAGCCGACGTACGCCAAATTGCGATTCCGGCCAAACATGGTCTCGGAAAAGAGGTCACAGGTCAAAGGTCATTTGGGTCAGGGTCATGAAATTTTCAGGGTAGGTGTAAAATTGATCAATGCGAGGGTACTGAAAGTTTCGTCGCGATCGGCCGCTTTTTACGCGAGTTATTCGCGAAAACCATGGGGGGGGGGGTCCATCCGACCCCCCCCCCTACACATGCGAGGGTTAACACGCGCCCTGCTGGGGGGGTGTTTGAACACCCCCCTTGTGGTTTTTCGCGAATATCTCAAAAACGGCGGCGCGGAGCGCCGCCGTTTTTGGTACACCTTATCATACATCAATTCTACACATGTTGTGAAAATTTCAGACCAAGGTCATTCAAGGTCAGGTCACCAGGTCACTTGAAGTGACCTCACCTCATAAAAACTTTCAATGTCTGTCATAGCTACACCGAGTGACCGATCGCTTTGAAACTTTCAGCGATTGCTAAGAGCAATAGCATGTACAAAATGTATATCTCAGAATTTTGATATCGATGACCTAAGGTCAGGTCAATTTTGCGACCTCCCCATTATAAGTCAATGGGAGAAAATTGAAATGCGCCTCTTTTGGATGAAAGACATTATACACACTCCAAAACACCGAATTACAAGTGGTTTAGACACACTGAACTTGAAAATGGTGTCCGTGACCCTTGCTTATGCCCTGAGGTCATCTTAGGTCACGAATGGTATCTAACAGTTTTTCGCAAATAACTTTTGATAGAGGCATGCTAGAGCGATGAAAACGCCTTAGATGTGTTCAGCTCGACGATACGGATCGACTGATATGCAACATGACCCTTTCCGGTCAGGTCATGACCTTGACCTGAGGTCAAATTTTCAAGTTGACCTTTCAAGGTCAAGTTATAGTTCATTCGATGCGTCTTGACGAGAGGAACACGATGCCGGTAAAAGTAAGCTCGTACAAGGCTTGGGTCAAAAGTTATTGCAGAAAAACTGTTTTCGAAAATATCGGCTATTTTTGCAGTTTTTGCCCCCTGCAGGCAAAACCGTTGACCTTAGGTCAAATCTGAGAGAATTACTCAGAAAGGGCGTTAATAGTGCTATCGAATGCGCTTTTACGCGGCGCTGTAGCTCTATTGGTTCCCGAGTTATGCGTTGGCTTCTTGGAAATTTTCGACATTCGACCTGGAAATCGGCGAAATTTTGCCTTCAATGACCTCTGGTGACCTGACCTTTGACCTGACCAAAAAATTGACCGAAGTGATTTCGTCATTATTTTTTACGCTCTTTCGAACGCCGCCTTCCGCGTATCGCTACGTGGCCCAGGAGCCGAGTTACAAGGGGGGGGGGTGTTCAAACACCCCCCCCAGCAGGGCGTGGAAATCCAGGACCCCCAGCAGGGCGCGGGTTAAATACCAAATATCATGTTGGTATCGGTTTGGTATCGGTATACCAAAAAGTTGGTATCCGACTGACATCTCTAGGTTTCATATAGAGTAGCGCCTTACTAACCTATGCCCACAGTTGGGTGGCGCTGGTGGCGGGTGTCCCCTCATTCATCTCCTGCTGGACAAAAGTGCATAACATATCGATGGAATTGGGATGGAAGCTATTTCCAAGCCATAGCCATAGCCATAGAATATTCAAAGCCTGAAGCCCAAAGTTCAGGAGCTGACGTTTGAGCTCAATCGTCACTACGTCATGCTTCTGGCTGAGACCTGGCTGCGCTCGACCACCCCGAACCGCCTCCTGGTCAATCCAGGATACACGCTCTGTCGTGCGGACCGCCCAGATGGTAGCGGTTACGGCGGTGTCGCAATTATCACCAAGGCTAAAATCACGTCAACCGCACTCAAGATCCCGGGCAGTGGGAGCTCTGCCAGCAGCCTGGAGTCACTGTGGGCGCTGCTAAAGCTTGAACAGGGCCGGCAGCTGATTATCTGCTCCCTGTATCGGCCACCCCGACACAGTGAGGCTGCTCTGCTTGCCGACTGCACGGACCTCGAGGTCCAACTGCAACGAGTTATAATCGATTACCCCAGTGTTCCGCTTGTCATCTGCGGCGACCTCAACTGTGATTTATTGAAAGAGCCTAATTTCCGCGCGTGTCAACACCCAAGCAGCTTCCTATCAAATTACTCATTAGATCAATTAGTGACAACTGCAACATTTACCTCCGGCTCACTCCTGGATGTGTCTATTGTTAACAACCGTGAGCTCGTTTGCGACACCCGTGTTAAATATTGTCACTTCAGTCCTCACAAATTTATCGATGTCGTTGTGAATGTGCCGAAACTGCGTCAAAAGCCCACGGTTATCTCGTCACCAGGTCACTTTTAATAACCCAGCCATAAGTCACTTTTTGCAACTTTGTCGCCGTGTCAGAGCTACAGTTATAGATGACGGACGCCTTTGAAAGTCGCAGGATATTATTAGGTCATTGGTAGCTAAAATTTGTATATCTCGGAATTTTGATATCGATGGCTTAACCCGGCAGGCGGTGGGCCTCCCGGCCACCTTCCGCGCGGTGGGGGGGGGGGGAGGCTTTTTTTGCCGCCCCCCGTATCTCCGAAACTACTGGACGGATCCGTAAAATTCAAACGGTGTTCGATGGCCCTGTCACATTTGACCTCGGGGTCACCGATGACGTCACATGTCAGGTCAAAGATAAAATGTTTCACCGTTCACGGGTCTTCTAGGGAATGGGCTATAACACCGAGTAAAACGCATTTTGTCCAAAATCAGCGATAGGGCGTCAGTTGCCTAGTACATATGCTGCTATTAGGGGTCACTGATGATACCAGGTCAGTTCACAGGCCAGGTCACCAAGGGTCAGCACAGGAGCCAAACTTTACTAAGGCTGTGCGATGCATGTTTTATGGCCAATTTTTTACCGCGAAATTTTCAGTACCTTCCCGGGCATTAATTTGACACCTTCACACAAAATTTCAAGTCTTAGGTCACCTTAGGTCAGGAGTTATTTAGGTCAAACTGAGGTCATGTTCGTGCAAAAATGAGCAAAATACATGAAATCTTGAAACGCTCACAAAAGCTACAATTACCAAGCAATTCAAAGCTATATATACGGTCATGTAGACAAAAAGCGGCGCTACAAAACTGCTATCTCGGATTTTCAAAATTGTGGGATTATGACCCCAAAAATTCAAAAATTGATTTTTTTTTAGAAAAACGCAAAAAACATCCCATTTTTTCCGAATTTCGAAAAAAACGGAATATATGTGATAGTCCCTGCGCTTTTCTATATACATGCCAAATGTTAGATAGCTACCTCCTTTTTGGCCAAGTAAAAAACTGTTCAAAATTGATGCCGTCAAATTTTTGAACTCAATTTTTAGCAATTCCAGACCACGTAGCGCAAAGCAAAGACCACCATTGAACTCCCCGTGGCAAGCTACATCGAATCGATACCCATTGTATGCAAAAATATCAACTTCGAAATTGGACCTAATTGGACCTGACTTTGACCTGATCTTGACCTGACCTTCACCAAAACAATCTAATCTGACCCCAAAGGCTGCCTGACCCACATAATCGTATTTGGCATATAAAATGGACCATAAAACATGCATCGGCATGATATTTTCATATTGTGACCCTCAGTGACCTGACCTCTGTGACCTAACCTGGTATCAGTGATCTCAAATAGCAAAATATGTATTTGACGAACATTTCCCCATCGATGATTTTCAATGAAATGCATTTTACTCGATTTTACAAC